CATAGGGTTAGAGTACATATTAAAGGTACAAGAGATGTATTCTCAATAAAATGCATATAATAAAAAATATATATTTTTAAATTTTTTTCTGAGTTAACCAGACCCATTTTAATTAGATCAATAGAAAATTAACTCTAAATTTGAAACTTTTTGAATTTTATTTTCAAAATTTATCCACTTGGAAAGTATATATTTAAGTTTGACACAGCCTGTGTTTGGCAAGTGAGTTTGCAGGCTTTTTTGGTTATTTTAGCCACAAAAAATAAAATAGGCTATTTTAGCCATAACAAACAAAACATCACATTCAACCCATAATCATTATATTTTTCTCTCACAAAAAAACTCAAAAAAGTCAAAAAGCCAAAAAGTCCTTCCCAAAACAAGCTTTTAAGCCCAGGCTAAAATAGCCAAAAAAGTTAAAAAGTCAAAAAGTCAACCCACTTTCCAAACCAAGCCACAATAATTTTTTATTTGGATCATTGTCAAAAGCTTGTTGGCAGATTGAATTTGTTTTAATACAATGAAATAATCAAAACTAGTTTAACCACTATGTTGTTTTCAAATTTCACTTGCTCAATATCTTAATAAATTTATATAATATTAATTTATATACACACAAATTATAAAATAAGTAATGAATTTTAAGTAGTTCTAAATTATTTTTATTTGAGTAATTCAAAACTTTATTAGAATCGACTTGATTAAATTTTCCATATAACATGATTTATTCTATTCATTTCCGTTTGGCGCCTCCACTTTTGCCATCCTAACACCACCCCTGGTAATGAGTTTATAACAATGTATATATGTCGACATTTATGCGTAGTTATACATTCAATAAATATTAAGGCTCTGTTTGTTTCGACGTAATATATTTTACACAAAAAAATGGTTTTTATTTTTGTTTTTTAGCTTTTGGTTAACACTTGAAACAAAAATATTTTATTGTTTAAAAGAAAATTTTTGATTCAATAAAGTATCATTTATGACTTTTTATTTAGTAAGTTAAGATATTTATTTGAAAAGAAATGTGTTGAAAATGTTGTAAGAGTTAACTTTGTAAAAATTGAATTTTTCAAGGTAAGTCATTTTTGAAAAAATGATGAAAAAATATTTTTGTAAGAGTTAACTTTGTAAAAATTGAATTTTTCAAGGTAAGTCATTTTTGAAAAAATGATGAAAAAATATTTTTTTTTTTAAAATATTTTACTTGCTTTTTATTCAATTAAGGCTCCGTTTGGGTACTTACTTTTTTAGCCAATTAGCCAAAAAGTTACTAAATTAGCCAAAAAGTCAATAACTCATACCAAAAAGTCAAAGATTCTTTTTTCTCTCTACTTTTTGTACATCTTTTCGTAATTAGTCAAAAAGTCGTCTCAAACATACAAGTTTTTTTTACCTACCTTTTTAGCAAATAGCCAAAAAGTTATTAAATTAGTCTGTTCCCAAACGAGACCTAAACAATAGAAAATAAGTACAATCACTGTGTTTGGTTTGAGTTTTCTGGATTAAGTTTTTTAAAAACTGAGTTTTTTTATTTTCATGTTTTTTTTGTTTTTAGTGAATATTTTTAAAATTTTAAACATTTTTTTTTACTTTTTTAGATGCACCTTACTTATATGTGTCTAAAAAGTAAAAAAATTGTGAAAAAATATTTTAAAAAATTAAGAAATACATAAAAACACAAAAAATGTACTAAATTCTTGTATTTTTTTTGTATTTTTGGTATTTAGTGAATTTTTAAAAGATTTTTTTACAATTTTGTTACTTTTTAGGTGTATTTATGTTAGGTGTGTCTAAAAAGTAAAAAATTTGCATAAAATATTAAAAAAATTCAGTAAAAACAAAAAAACATCGAAAATAAGAGTGTAGAATTTTCTGAAAATTGTTTTTAAAAAATAGAAACCAAGTTTTGATAAAAATATTTTATGTCAAAATAAACGGAGTCTAAGTAAAAAAAAATCATATAATTTAAGTTTTTTTCCTCTTGTAACTTATGTTTTAAAAATTATTTAAATTTTTAAGTAATACAAATTATAATTATCAAACAAATTTAATTAATTGAATTTTAATTACTAAATTGAATTATGAAAATTCATCATAGAATTGAGTAGTGTGTCAAATTTCAAACGTATGAGATTTTGTTTGGGTTATAAAGTTAGGCAGAAATTAAAAAAATAAAATAAAAAATTAATTAATATTTCATTCACATTTGAAAAAAAAAAATCTCTGTTTTAATTCACAATTTAAAAAATGATTGAGACTATTAAAAGTGACGCTTTAATAGTTTCACTAATAATGTGATAGGTTTTTTTATAAATCATTATTGTTCATAATTTAAATACAATTCAAGTTTATCACATTTTGTCTTCTTCTAGCCACGTGGGATCGCTAAAACAGAAAGTGCAGAGGGCCTGAGGGCAAAAAGGATCCACATGTGCCACCACATGACTTGGGATTAGGGTATAATTGAACCTTGCCAAAATATCACACAAAAGTAAGAACACCAATGAAGGGCACATTAATCACATTTTCCTCTCTTTTAAACAAAATAATTATATGTTCTTTTTCATTAAGACTGTATTTGCATTATAGAATTAGATAGGGATTTGAAAATAATTATAAAAAAAATAAAAAAAACAAGAAGGATGATATGAATGAAATATAAATTATTTTTCGCCATTGTTTTTTTTCAAAGTTCTTATCTTAGTTCATGATTCAAATATAATGTTTTAGCAAATCAGACCTACCAACAAACAAATTGGCTTTGCTTGGGAAGTGGGTTGATTTTTTAATTTTTTTGATTATTTTAGTATGGGGTTAAAAAGTCTGATTTGAAAGGACTTTTAGCTTTTTTGTGAGAGAAATAATGTAATGATTATGGGTTAGATGTGATGTTTTGTCTTATTAGATTACAATATTTATTTTTATTTTTTGTAACTATTTTAGTCAAAAAAAACTCCAAATCTCTCTTCCCAAACGGAGCTAATGTAGCTTATCAAAGTGGGAACCTAGTGGAGAAAGTACGGTGAACACACTTCTTTGAAACACAACTAAAGCTACAACACTAAATAGTATACAACTTTTTTTAATTGAAAAAAGATTCTTAAAAAGTATTTTTTAATTTATCAACAATAACATAGAATTCAATTATGTAAAGGGCAACTCTTTTGTTATGTTATTATGAATAAATTGTGAATTATAAATTATGAGTCTAACAAAAAAAAAATTATTTATGTAAAAATTAATTACAGAATTAGATACAACCTTTTTATATGAAGATAGAACTCATCTCATATCTTAATAATATATTTTTGTATTCCTAATCTTTTTCATTAATATATCAATTAGTTTAGTAAAATCCCTACTTGGCACTACCAACTCAATTTGTTGGCCCATTTTATGACAATTGTTACGTTGTCTTAAAAAAAAAAAAAGATAAAAATAATAATGGATGCCATTGTTTTAATTAGTAAAAATAAAGTTCTCGTCTCCGATTCACTTTAATCTCTCACAAGCCAATTACATTATAACTTATAAAAATTACAAGATTTTAATTTTCATAATTAAAAGTAGATAGATGGAAATGAGATTGAGGCAAAGCATGAGTCTAGTGTGAAATGAATTATCCAATTTTGTTTTTTTATACCAGAGAATCCAGCCAAGAATTTTCCGTACTTTCCAAGAAAGAGACTTTGCCCTTTTTGAAGGGATAATTATTTGATAGTTTTGGAATTATTTTAATTTTTATTAGTTAAAATAATGAGATTCAATAATATAATAAATGTCATATGTTAAATGACGTGAAATAATATAATAAATGGCATGTTTGATTGGGTGGATTAGAGCATGGAATTAGGATTATTAATCCGTGGGCCCAATTATCTCATGTTTGTTTTAACATTTTGGTTTAGGATTATTAATCCAATGGATAATTAATGCAACAAATTTGTAGGATTATTAGTAATGGGGTAGGGGTGGGATAGTTAATACCATACTAATTTGATTGGATTATTAATACCTCACTATTAGTATTGTGAATCAAACATGGCCATATACGTGTGAATCACATGTTTGAATTTCATTCCTATTTAAGTATTAAGTAGAATATTTAATAATCCAAAATGTATATATATATATATATATATTTCTAACATTTTTATCTAAGAGACATCCTCATTTAGTGGACTTGTCCCCTCAACAACCGTCATCCCTCTATCTATGCATTCACATTCACACATATAATATCACCTCACAAATCTAAAATATTCTTTTATCTATGCACCAATGTTAATTAATGTATACCTTAAGCGTTTGTTTGAAAATTGATTTTTTTTTTTTATATCAACTTTTTAATTTATTTATTTATTTTGTGACTATTTTAGCTAATTGTCAGCCTAAATTCAATCAAAATGTTAGAGAGGATTAAAATTATTATTATTTTTAATATAATAGGATATTAAGGGGTTGTTTGGTTTTTGAGTTGGGCTAAATAATCTCAAAAAGGGCAAAAAAAAGTCAATAAATTACAAAAAGCCAAAAATCACAAAATGACAAAAAAAAATCCATCATTCCAAAGGTAAAAAATCAAAAAAGTCAATCAAGAATATCACACGAACAAAAAAATCCCAAACTAAAAAAGTTAAAAAAATCAAAAAATTAACTAAAAAAGTCATTGCCAAACGAAGGCTAACAAGTTAGTAGTTAAATTACTAAATAAGTTAATATCTTTTGATGGATTTGAACTTAAGATCTTACATCAAAACTCATGCTACAATATGAGAACGCTCTCAAGCTTACTTGAACAACCGCCTAGGTCTAATAGAAGAATAAGCCAACAAACACAGGAACTAGTCACAAAATATATATAGTGAAATTTTCAAAACTGAATCTCACTATCAAACTCTATAAAATTTTATCCATTAGTGTGTATTTTATGTCTGATTTTATAATTAATTTATGTGCATAACATTAAGAGAGAGAGAGAGAGAGAGAGAGAGTTGCTACAAGACTACACAAACCATTTACATTAATATGTAGAGTATTCAAGCCTTGAGCACCAAGCAATCATAATACATAAGATTGCAACATACAAAGACATATATACCTAAAACGGCCTATAACACTACAGTCAATATGGATACATCACTGGCTACTAGAAAGTTGTTCCAGTACACCAAGTCATATGACCCTTTAGAACACACAAAAATAATAAACAAGATTAGCAACATTTAATAATCCTCAAGGCTTCCAATCATTTAGAAAAACAAGTCTTCATCTTCTTCTCCGTGCTAATTGCGATTTTTGCACTTCTCCATGGCTCTCGGCGCTGCAAGAACCAGAAATATAATTATCGGATGATATTGAGACACTTATTATAACTAGTTTGACAGATTGTTTCCGAAAAATGCTTTGGAAATTTTTTTGAAAAACAATAACGATGAGTATGCCAAAAAAATTATTGTTTATTGGGGCAATCAATCAATATTAACAAGAAAATTATCAAAATTTGATTAGGTCATACCAAGCCCAATTGCATCTGAACTTTTCATGATCCTTAGCCTCTTGCACGAGTCTGTGAACATTCTGCAACAACATATAACAACAAATTAGGGCTTGTCAATACCTTTATGCTGTGTTTGACTGAGAGATTTAAGAAGAAATTTGGAAAGGAAAAGAGAAAATGTGTGTAAAACTAAGTGAAATATAAGTATATTTTATTCACATTTCACCTACTTTTTCCCTTTTCCTTTCCAAATCATTTCTTAAATCCATCAACTAAACACAGCATTAGTGAACTTTTTTTTATATTCCTTTACAACTATTTTCCTTTTAAGTGTATCTAGATTCGGTGCATTTGAAAAGTAAAAAGATTGATTAAAACTGAAGACAACAAAACACAAAAACCTCAAAAACTGTTTTCAAAAACAAAATTCAATATGGCAAGCACTATTGAATTCATCCAAATTATATGTGACAAGAAAATGGAGCAAATATGGTATTGGAGTGATGCTTACTCCCATGGAACATCACCAACAAGCATCCAATCACCATCCTTGTCTTCGTAGGTAAGAACGTATTCAGAACCATGGAGCAGATCCATCAATCGGCTCTCACTAAGTCCCTCACGACTTGGAACTCCATGAGACCCACATTGCCCTGAACCGGTCATTAATGTCAGTTAAACAAAACATCAGAGAGAATTTTCAAAACTATAATTGTTATTCATGAAAAAAATATATAAATATTATAGTTATTTAAAAGTGATACAAGACTAATGTGTCTAGACCAAGGCAATCTTTACTTTAAAGAAAAATAGAATTGTGATTTTTATCTCAATAATAGGGCATCCGATGAAAGTTCAATCAAAACATGGATCAACATTTTTTTTTCCCCAGTTGATTTGTGAATGAATTTCCATATTTCATACCAAAGAACCATGCAGGATTCCAGAAAATAAACAAAACCACACCCAAAGAAAAGAAAATAAACCCTAATTCTCAATATTAAAAACTCTCAATTCAATTCATATCCAAAGCTGCCTAATTCTACAACATAATGCCCTATCTATCTATAAGCAACCAAAGAAAACCCTAATTTAAAAAAAAAAATCTAAATTTAAAAAAAATTTCAAATCCTTCCTCATCCAACGCCTTTTTTGTCCCCATCAGAGCAGTTTGGGATTTCAAATGCCAAATTGGCGACAATTATATAACCAATAAACAAAGTGATAAGACGAGATTATAGAGCGGCTATACCGATTGTAAAGCAGCTAAACATGTTTTCAAGCGCCGATGACAGTTGTGTGTAGCTATTGTAGGTTTTCAGATCAACTTTCCTCAAGTATGGGGCACCATCCATACTGACTTTGACATAGAGACAACCGGACCCTGAATTGGTATCTGCATCGTCGTCATTTTCATTCTTAGGATGATTATTAGCCATTGAATTCTTCCGGAAAGATCGAATTGGTGGCCATCCAACCACCTGTGCCCTGCCTCACAAAAACACACAAGAGGAATGTGTAGTTATTATCTTGTAACAAGTACATAGAAGTGATGAAAGACCAAGCAGAGAAATTGGGGGAGCAAAAAGAGGAAATTAAATCAAGCAAACAGAGCAGAAGACATAAATATTGAGAGAAGCTTTGAAAGGAAACATATAATACAAAATTCCAAGAAGAGAATAAACAACACAATAAAAAATTAAATAAAAGAAAAGGGGCCAAAAATTGGTGAACTCAAATTTGTAAAGAAATTATTAACAAAATACAAGTATCCACCATGGTGTGTGAAAAACTGAAAAGAAATAGCATCTCCCATCCTTACTCTCTCTTTTTCATTAAAATTGAGTGAAATTTTGGTTAAAAGTTTGTTTGGTATGGAACACGCCAATCATTACTCTCTTTTTTAATCAAATCTTTTTAAGAAATAACAAACTCATCCTAAAAACATGTTTTAACTATTTTTTTGAAAGAAATCACGTCCAATCCTTTCCATTTTTAAAATTTCGTTAATTTGAATAAAAATAAGATTGTTGGAAATTTGGTGAAGGATTTTGGTTATTTTTGATTTGGTGAAAGCTTTGCTTCTCCCTTAATTTGATATAAGTTTGACGAAATGATTGGAAACTCATTAGAGCTTTTTATTCATCAAATTTAAATTTGAGGAAACAATTAATGAAGGAATGGAGATGCTCTTCTACAAAAACACAATAAAATTAAAATAAAAAACACAAATTGGTGAACTCAAATTCGTTAAAAAAAAAAAAAAAGAGGGTAAATTATTAACAAAATACAAGCATCCACCATGGTGTGTGAAAACTGAAAAGAAAAATCTTGCAAAATACTATTTGGAAATTCTATCAAAAAGTCAGGCAACCATATTGTCTTATTGGTACTCACTTTCTCATGAAAATAGAAGAGAAAAGAGAAGATGATGGGAAAATTACTTTGCAGCAGGAGCACTCCCATGGCCATTTGTAGCTGAAATCTGAGGCTTCTTCTCCGGCACCGCCGCTGCCGCCACCGGCTTTGGCGACGGCGGAACAGCCTCTGCATCAGACTGCTGAGTGCCACTCTCAGAACAACCACCACCACCACCAAGATTTTTCCCACCACCATTGACACCTCTGGGAGAGAACAAACCACCATTTTTCGCCAAACCCATTTCCGATCCACCATTACCAGAGAAAACCCACTTCCCAGAACCACCACCAATGGTGTCTGAGAAGCCCCTTTTGGCCCCTGAGACCAAACCCTTGATTGGGTACTCTGGTGACTCAGAACCAGGCAAGCCAAGTCTCAGCTCAGTGGCTTTCAAGTTCAAACCCTTGTTATTATTATTATTGAGTTTCTCAGAGGTTTCCATTGAAGGAAGCTCTGATAAGCCTATGTAATCATGTTCTTGAAAGGGCAGAGACATCAAAATTCAAAAAAAAGAAAGAACAAATGGTGGCTCAGGGTTTTGTAGTACAAGGGGAAAAAAAGCATGAAAAGGGCATGAAGTGGAAGTATCTAAAACTCAGAATACAGAGAGTAAGTTAGATGGGTTTTGATTACAGAGAAGAGTAATGAGAAAAAGAGAAGCTTCTATGGCCTTTCTCTGTATCCTCTTCTATATATAATCATTTCTATCTCATCTTTCTTCTGTCTCTGTCCACTGTAACCAACGATGGGATGAGAATAATAATGGAGAATGGGAAGTGATCACAACTGAGACTGTATAATAGGGGCCTGGTGTGCAATGATTTTGTTCTATTTTTAAAAATTATTAAAAGTATTAAATAAACTTAGCTTCCGTTTAGGAAGTGCGTTGGTTTTTTAGTTTTTTGATTTTTTTAGTTATTTTATTTTGGGCTAAAAAGTTTAGTTTGGGAAGGATTTTTTGACTTTTTGGTTTTTTTGACTTTTTCTGTGAGAGAAGAATGTAATAATTATGGATTGGATGTGATGTTTTGTTTTTTGTGGCTAAAATAGCCTATTTTGCCTTTTGTGATTAAAATAGACAAAAAAACCTGAAAAAGCTCTTCCCAAACGGACCCTTACTTACAAATGTTTGTTTGCGAGCATCGGGGTTGACGTTGGTCGGCTGTGGCCACAAAATTTTTAATTTGTCATTCGTCTGTTAAATTAATAATTTGGAAAAAATTAATTTGTATTTATTCGTTAATTCGGTGGATGTAGATTGAGTAGATTGACAGATTAATAAATAGATGCGAATCAATTTAACGATTTTAAATTTTATAAATTTTTAACATAATTCAACTTATGCATTTCCTAAAAAAACACACACACACACACACATATATATATATATATATATTACTATCAATGAATTACAATCACTGCATTTCTCATTCAAATAAAAAAAGTTTGAAACTTTAGTATATTACAATCACTACATACTTCATCCACATATTACAATCACAACATATATCATTCACATAAAATATTACAATCTATGGTTTTTAAAATATAAAAACAATTCAAACCACCAAAACCATGAACAATGCAGTAATAGAGATTGTATGTCTCTATATTGTTACATCAATATTCGTTTTTGAAAACAAAAACCAACAAACATATATCATTTTTTATTTGTTATTTTTAGACTTAGATTTAAAAATTAAAAAATATAGATAAATAATATATTTATTTTTTTCAATTCAAAAAATATATTCAAGTTGAAAACTCTTTTTCAACAGAATATATTTAATAGAATATTTAAATTTTTTTCAATTGAAAACACAAATAAAATATCTAAACAAATTGAAAATACAAAATTTTATAAATTACTAAAAGTGCTCGTAGTTTGGTGGTTTAGTTGTAGTCAAAAGAATTTCAAATTCATCATTCGTCCAAAACTAGGAACAGGGGTTCCTACTATGCTCAAAGCACAGTAGTGACTGTGGTGCCTCTCTTTGAGGTGTATTATGGTCTTATTTTTATGATTTAAACCGTTCATATTGTAAGGTTTGTTGAGCAATTCATGCCTACCAAAAATCATATTAATCGAATATCAATAACTATATGATCGAATTGCATATTGTTTATGATATTTCTTAAAAGAAAAACTTATTATTTATTTTTTTGGTTGTCGATCATATAGTTGTTGATATCCGATTAAGATGATTTTTGGTAGGCATGAAGTACTCACCAAACCTTACAAAATTAACGGTTTGGATAATAAAAATAAGACCATAATACACCTCAAACGAAGGCACCACAGTTACTGCTGTGCTTTGAGCACAGCAGTGACTCATTTTCCCCAAAACTAGGCAGATTAAAAAAAAAACAATATCGTCTGCTCGGCATCACGCATCCGTCAAAAATGCGGTGGATAGATTCAGTTCGGTCAGTTTAGACGCATCGGTATATCCACTGCTCACCCCTAGTGAACATTTTTTATTTAATAAAATTAATATAAAAAATAAAATTTATAATTAATTTTTAATATAATAATAAAATTATATAAATTATTACTTGAAATTTATTTATGATATTATTAAAAATTATTAATTAATTTTATAATTTATTATGCTATTTAAAACTTAAGGGACGTAATTTAATTGTTAAGCAAATTCATTTGTAATTTAGCAGAACGTTTTTGGGGAGAGGGTTTAGTTAAAATAATTTATTAAAAAATAAAATAGATTAAAATAATTAATAAAATAAAATTTTACATTCAATTCATAAATATTTTATTTTTTCTTTCATAACTATTAAATCAATTATAAAAAATTAAATATAATTTTTTAAATCAAATTAAAATAATTAAAAAAAATAAATAATTTTACAACCTTAAGGAATTTCCACCAAAACTCCATTTCCATGGAGCACACTTTGGCTTCAATTTCCCATTCACTCGGTAATGGTTTTGAGCAACCAAATATACCATGTGAATCACAACGCGGCATAGAACGCGTTACCACTTTGACCCGAGTAAATTGACACTCGGGGCCCACCTAAAAAATAGACCTAACTTAGGAAAAATCAACCATTTCCAACATATTTTCTTTAGATTTTCAGAGAATTTCTTTAATTTCGCAAGAATTTCTCTAAGTTCAAACTAGAAAATTTCTCTGTCTTCTCAATCACGATGTGTAATGCACAAATCGATCATCCAAACAAACAGCAACAACAACCAATATACATATATATCCAAAGAATTTCTCTAGACTTTTCAAAAAATTTCTCTCCAGAAAATGGGAAAGCCAGAGAATTTCTCTAGATTCTAGTCTAGAGATTTTCTCTAGATTGCCTTTCCAATCACGATGTGCAATACACAAATCGATCACCCAAATAAACAACAACAACAACCAATATACATATATATATATATATATATATAGAGAGAGAGAGAGAGAGACTCACTGAAAGGAGAATTTCTCTAGCTTTCGCAAGAATTTTTCTAAGTTCAAACTAGAAAATTTCTCTGGCAAGAACAGGAAAAATCAAGATTATAGTTTGGATGGGGAAAAAACATAATGATGAAAGAAACCCAATTAATTGTAGAGAAAATGTGAGATGAAAGAACATAGAATTATTCATATAATTAAATCCAAAAACACTCATGAAGACAATTCTACTTTTCTGCGGTCAAGATGAGTCTATAGCTTCAAAAACCTAATCATACATTTTTTATTCACTTCTAGACCTCTTAGCTCAATCTATTCTTCACCCATTACGAATCTATTTTCGAACACAATCTATGAACTCACCTATAACAATTTGTGCAACTCTAATAATGATTCTTCACATATCCATCAATTATTTTTGACCAAGGTTTGTCACGGAGCTAGAGGTGGTGACGGCCACCGCAGACTCCTTGTCTCTTGCACTATCTCCACCATTCCTCTAGCCTTCGAAGAGCAACAAACCACGAAGCACAGAAACTTGCAAATGCTTGATGAGGAGGCGACGAGCAAGAGATCAAGCTGAGCTTGGAAGACAAGGAGATTGAAGATGACGAAGAAACCCTAGTTGTGGTGGAGAAGACGCATCTTTGAGGTGAGGAAGAGAGGATCAACATAGTATGTGCAGAGAGAGAGAGAGAGTGTTGTAGAGAGAGAAAGAGAGGGGTAGGGGAGAACAGTTCTTGGTATGTCAAATTTCTTTATGATATATAGGTGTTAAGTTGAAGAACTGTAGACATCACAAAAAAATATTGTGAACCTCTTCCATTAAAAATGAGACAGAAACTTTAAACTAGGGGTGGGCGTAGGTCGATTTCGGCCACGAAACCAATAATTCGTCATTCGTTTGCCAGATTGATGGATTGGAGAAAATCAATCCACATTCGTCTGCCAATCCGGCAAATGTGAATTGAGCGGATTAGTAGATGAATGCAAATCAATTTGACAGTTTTAAATTTTATAAATTTTCAACATAATTCAACTTGTGCACTTCCTAAAAAAAAAAGTATTACAATCAAAGACTTAAAAAAGTATTTCAATCACTACATGTCTCATCCAAAGTAAGAAAGTTTGAAACTTTAGAATATTACAATCATTGCATGCTCCATCCATATATTACAATCACAGCATGCCTTATCCACATAATGTATTATAATCTATAGTTCTTAAAATATAAAAACAATTCAAACCACCAAAATCATAAACATAGCAATAGTAGAGATTGTATGTCTATATTGTTATATCTATATCTGTTTTTGAAAATAAAAACCAACTAGTATATATATTTTTTATTTTTTATTTTTAGAGTTAGATTTAAAACTCAAAAAATATATTGAAGTTGAAAATTATTTTTCAACATAATATATTTAATAAAATATTTAAATTATTTTTCAATTGAAAACACAAATATAATATTTAAATAAATTAAAAACAATAAATCTTACAAATTACTAGGAACACTCGTGGTTTGGCAGTTTGGTTGTAGTCAAAGAAATCTCAAATCCGCCATCCATAAAAAACTAGGTAGACTGAAAAAATCCAATCCACAACCGTCTACCTATCATCACGCATCCATCCAAAATGCAATGAATTTGATCGATTCGATCGATTTGAACGGATCAATATATCCGCTGCCCACCTTAGTTCGAACTAATTTTCCCAATATCCAAATAGCAACTAAAATAATCAAATTCCTAAAAAGGCTTTTATCCGACCCGAGTTGCCACCAAGTCATGAGTCCACGACTGGGACGACCCTAATTTCTCTCTCTCGCGTTTTCTCTTTCACCCTCTGAACCGCCGATCGCCGCCTCAACCACCGACCAACAGCATCTAAAGGTATGTATGTCCCTTTTGTCTTTCTTAGAGATGATCTCTCTCTCTCTCTCTGTGAATATCTGTACTGAGATTTTTGGATATTTGTTGTTAATTTCCATGGACCTGTCTTTGTAAAAGTGTTAATGCTTTTGGAGTAGTTGCCATATATTTAATCTCTGATGAAAATTTTACCCAAAATTGACTAAAGATTTGAGTAGGAACTTCATTTGATGTTAACCACTATAATTGATGAATCCAGTATCCGCAAGTATCCAATTTTGAGTAAAAAGCTTAATCTAAACCTTTATCAAATTTTCATCAAAATCATTTAAAAAATTCCAAATTTATCTTTTCATCAAATTTGATGGGGAAAAGAAAAAAAGAAAACTCCAATGATTCATCTTTTTAAACATAGAGGTTTGATGAATTTTCAATTTGATGAAAAAAATGTCTCTCCCTTGATTTGAAGAACATTTGATGAATGGATTGGAGATGGTTTTTGAGCACTTTTTCATCAAATTTAAATTTGATGAAAAAGAAGGTTGACTCAAACTTGTATCCAACTTAAATTTGGGTAAAAATGACTTAAAAAAGCTTTCCACTCCTTGATTCAAACTTATATCTAAATTGTGTTTTACCCAATTTTTTACCCAAAATCAGACCATTTTGTAGCTTCTGAATTTGCAACTCTGTCACTACTGAAGGTTTACTCAAATTTGTGCTTAAATCTGAGTTTCTCCATTGGAGTGTTTCATCATTTCACGTTAAATAAAATTTCTACTAAAATTTTCCTCAAATTTTGAGTAAGGGCTGGAGATGACCTTATACCAGAGTGGTAAATTTGAGGCCCCGCAAAATAGCCTTGCAAATTTTGGAGTAAACATTTGAGTTTTCCTTGATTTGGGTAAAAATTTGAGTAAAACTCAATTTGGTATAAGTTTTGGGTCAAGGAGTGGAGGGTGTTTTGACTGATTTTTATCCAAATTAAGTTTTGATATAAGTTTAAGTCAAGGACTGGAGATGGCTTATGTAGGTATCAAATGGAGTTGTTTTGAGTTTTGTGGGTAGTTTACGTCTGTGTTTTTTTGAATGAGAACCAAATCTAAAAGAGTTTAGGGCTCTTGGCTCTTTCAAACAACATGAAAAAGGCAAAAAAGAAAAAAAAAAAATGATACATGGGAGTGAAAAACTCCAGATATATAGGTCATATTTTGTAGGCTTTTACTCATTGTTTACTTTTGGTTTCTTGTTTTTTCTTATTTTGTTGTTCTGGGTCTGTGTGTTATGGCCTTAACATAGAATATGCATTTAAATGGAGCCAATTAGAAGGAAAAAATGATCTCATATATCACATTTTTATCCCATTACTTGCAAATAAGGACCAAGGCTTCTTGAATTGAGTTAAGAGTTGTGTGTTTTTTTTCTTTTTCTTTTTCTTTTTCTTTTTTTATAAATAGTAATCTTATATCAACTTGCGTATAGAGAGAAACCATAAACTGCAGTGTAAAATCAAAAACCAAAGAACCTTTCATCTTCATCTCTATGACAATTTATATATATGGATGGCCATAGATGAGTTTTTGGGATGTTTGAATGGACTTTATTTTATATTTGTATAATTGAATCACTCAACTTGAATGTAACTCTTGATTAGAAATTAGCAAGCTTTACATTTTTTCACTGATGTTTTAGCCCTTTTGAAGTGTTGTATAATTGATAATCTCTGTTGGAAAATGTAATCAGCAAAGAGAGATGTCTACTTCAGATGAAGAAATCACAAGGCTGTACAGAGTCCGGAGAACAGTGATGCAAATGCTGAGGGACAGAGGGTACATTGTGGGAGATTTCGAGGTAGACATGACAAAGCAGCAGTTCGTTCAGAAATATGGTGAGAACATGAAAAGGGAAGACCTTGTTATCAATAAAACCAATCGCAATGATAGCTCAGACCGGGTATGTTTTTAGTTGTTTCCTTTTTATTGGAGTCTTCAAGTTCTAAGGAGCTTCTATCATAGTGTTATCGTCGGTTGTTTTCCAGTCAAGTTGTAGTGGAATTGGTGTTTATTATTTTAGAGTTTATGGAACTGCAATTCAAGTTTCCCATTTGGAATGTTTTAAGAACTCAAACTTGTTGTAAGTGAAAATTTTACCGTAGTGTGCATTTCATATAGTCATTGTTCTTGAGCTTCAATATTTTCATGCTTTTATTTTGATTAGCTTATTCTAGATTACAAGATAATATAAACACATATATCCCTAGGATTGTGATGCGTTGCCCCATAGTCATACAAAATGTCATCAGGCCAAACAATTGACATCGTTGGCTTTCACATGGTTTTTCCTTTTGTCTTACCAAGGGATTCCTCATTTTGATTCTTGGATTTGATGCAAAATCCTTGATTAGTGTTGTTATAAACGAAACTCTTCGCTTATCTATCTATTACCAAGACTAGTGGGGCGAGTTGAGGAATTCTTTTTCTGTAGAGAGAAGTTCATGAGGTGTAATTCCTTCCTTTGGAAATTCCCAGAGTGAACTATGTCAAAAAAGAGTGATGTACTTGTTAGAAAATGAGAGAAAAAGGAGGGGGCAGCTCATTACTTGTCTTCTTCAATCCATCTCTGAGATTAAAGAATGACAAAGGGATGTCGTTTCAAATTTTTTGAAGGATTTACATTTTACTCCGTTAAGGAAATGTGCTTGTTCTGTGTATTGTTTTCAATTCTGTGTGTGATGGGGGTTGATGGTCTTTGTTCTGATAGAAACAAAAAGTGACACACTTTCACAATAAAATAGGTGGAGGGAGATATATCATTTTCATCTACAGAAATAAGAAGGGAGTTTGTTTAGTATGAAAATCTGAGTACTTAAACCTACGTAAGTGCTGGGAATAAACCCACCTAAGCAATGGAAGCAAAGATAAAATAACATGGCCACAAGAAAATAAGAACATGAGAATTTACATGGTTCAGCAAGATTCCTACATCCATGGGTGAGTGAGAAACAATCCACTAACAATAGAAACATTACAATGGTAAGATAAATACAACTCTTTGGTATTTTCCGACACCCCCCACAAATATATACACTGTTACACTCACAAACCCTCACTGTTTGTGACTTGTATAACCTGTATACACAAACCCTCTGTGTGTATTTATTTCACTAACCATGTGTCACTTACCCATATATCACCTTACACACTTGCCCATTGTGCAACTCTTCAGAATATACATAAAGACATAGTCAATACATGACCTTTGGTTCCCCCCAAGACAAGCTAGCTGCCACCAGGTAATCATTTACACTAGTTATGCACTGTTACACTTCCCCAAAAAAATCCATGTAATGAAGTCTCTGTAATAGCTTTATATACATTCAAGAATCCTATCACACTTAACCACTCCATTTCATATTCACAAAGCTAGAAGTTGTGCCCATTCAATTTCCCAAGACCAAACATCCACCTTTTCAAGCACCAAAAAAACAACCTGATGAGCCATTTTTCCAAAGTTGGCTCATTCAACACCAAAAAAAAAAAAAAAGCATTTTACTTTAATACTAATATAACCGAATGGCTTCCAAAAAATTAACTCACTTTAATTAATTGTTTTATCACATAGACAGAAAATCCTAACAATAAGAACCAAAAAAGTGCCTAAGAAAATCCTAACAATAAGAACCAAAAAAGTGCCTAATCAGGCATAGTCTGCAATAATTCTTCCAATGAGTGAGTATAGATCTCTTGGCTTGTACATGAGTTGTCCACAGAATTCATGCTATGAATGTATCTAGGTTCATTTGATCATCCTGGTGGAATTCTTTCCCTCTTTTTTCACTCAAAGTTGCACTCAAAATATTCTGATAATATAGTCAAAGATGCTTTGTATCCAATTAAACTAACCAAGTTTTTGTTTAGGAGTGGTGGATGTGCTAAAGATCCATGCACTTTTGTTTTTGATAAATTACAAACACACCCCCTGAGGTTTATTTAAATTACGAATTACTCCCTGTAGTTTTAGAAATTACAATATGTCTCATAAAGTTTCTAATTTCATAACAAATAAGTCATTTTATTAATAAATCATCAAGTTAATTAACAGTTTTTAATGATGTTAAAATTTTATTTCAATTAATAATTCAGATAATTTTATTATTGTTTAGGAGAACAGTTAGGAATTTTATTTTTTCAATTAATTTTGTTAAATAAAAAATTCTAACAGGGAGGTATTTGTAATTTTCCAAATCACATGGGGCAATTCGTATTTTAAGCAAACCTAAGGGGGTGTATTTGTACTTTATCCCTTTTTTTTTTTCGTGTCATCAATTAATAGTTTGCCGGGGTGCAGGATCTGATACCTATATAATTCACATAACCCATTTTTGATAGTCATTGACATTTACTTTGTGATTTTGCAAATATGCATCTGAAATCCCAAACCAAACAAGAACTAGATCATTTTGGTTTTTATAAATTAATTTATTTTAGAGATTATGATTCGAGAGATTGAATGTCATGTGCAAATCATGCCAAATGTTAGGTCTGTATCCAATCTATCTCTCCTAGACTGTACACCTAACGAACATTGAACTGGGTGTAGTTTTTTTTCCTTCTTTTCTTTAAATTTTTGTATGCCAGTGTTGGTTGCCTGTTTGTCACTGCGTCTTTTTGTTTGTGTAATTGGTGCCTTTTTGTGGACCAGATTTATGTTTTCTTCCCTGAGGAGCAGAAAGTTGGTGTTAAGACAATGAAGACTTATACCAATCGCATGAAATCAGAGAACGTTTTCAGAGCAATCTTGGTGGTTCAACAGAATCTCACTCCCTTTGCGAAGGCATGCATAAATGAAATATCAGGAAAATTTCATTTGGAGGTTTTCCAGGTGATTGTTGATGGTTTTCACCCTCCTCACTCTCCATATGTGGGTCATTTTATTAGATAATACAATGATGTATGGTCATCAATTTAGTGATTCTCTCTCTCTCCCCTACTAATTAATAATTTTATTAGGTTGTACAATCATCAGTCATCATTTTGATGAAATGTCTCTTTCATGCAAGTGTCATTCAGCAGACCCTCGCAAGAAGCTCATGGAAAGAAAAAAGTTGATATCAAAAGCACATTTGGAAAATGATCTACAAACAAAATTATTATAAATAATTTACTAGAAGAATGATGGGACAATGACATTCTTGAAAATAGAAGTCATTCCAATGGGCTTTTGATTTTAAAATGAGACGACATAAAACTGCCTCGTCTTTCTAAATAAAGTTTTGGTATGAATTATTATTATTTTTTTTTTTGTATAGCACTATTCTTTATGTGTATAGCAAATGATGCTTTAATAAGTGGCTGCCCTCTCTTGTGCATCCAAACACACACACATACACACAGATTTTCCTTGATATTATACCTTGATCTGGCATTGAGATGCAGAATGAGTGGTGTTAATTAATTTTAGGGAAAATTACACTTTACAAACACTTTACCTCGTTAACGATGGGCCATTATCACCTTACCCCCTAAACTAAAATTGCTACTTTTTGCCCCCTAATCTTCTTATTTGTTTCAATCTCAACATTCTATTAACATTTTGTAATGAAATGGCAGAAAAGTGGCATTCAATTTGTACATGTCAATTTTATGACCAAATTGTTTATTCAAAAGTTGATTTATATGCATTTATGTGAGTGATATCATGATTATGTATATATTTTTCTCTATAGTCAATAAAATTGGCATGTACATGTATTTTCTCTCACATATATCTTCATAGGAGAGAAGTTATATACATCTCTCTCTCTCTCTCTCTCACACACACACACACACACACATGAGTAAATAGATCAGCTCTTGTATGAACATATGGATCATAAAATTGGCATGCACAACACACATGCTACTTTTTCGTTCGTTTTTGTTAGCAAAAGGTTGAGATTGAAATAAATAAGAAGATTAGGGGCGGGCAAAATGTATCAATTTTTGGTTGAGGGGTTGGAGTGTAATTTGCCCTTAGTTTCTTGCTTTACTGAAGATATATTGTTTTGTGAATTTATTAGAGGATATGAATGATGGTGATTTCATAATTACCCACGTCATTTGACACAGGAGGCAGAGTTATTGGTCAACATTAAAGAACATGTACTTGTTCCTGAGCACCAGCTCCTCACAAATGAAGAAAAGAAGACTTTGCTGGATAGATATACTGTGAAAGAAACACAGGTCAGGAATTTTGGTGGTGCACTTGCTAGTTTAAAGTAGTCCAATATGATGTGTTAATATGATTTGGCTTCGTAAAAATGGTGTTAGTATACTATGCCCTATGAAGCAACTGATTCAACCTCAGAATTGCTAGAGGCTAGAGTTGCTTTGTTTTGAAAGTTTTATTGTGATTATGTCCAAATTCAAATTTGAATGTTAGACATTGGTATGGAAACAAGGAATAGGCAATCCATTTACAATTGTTTCAGGGCCCATTGTTCATATATTGAAGATTTTCAAGGCCAACACTTCAAATTTTAACTACACTCAGTTTTGGAAAAAAATATTTGTGGAACAAATTTCTAAATTGTCTGGTGTTTTAGTATGACAGAATACGAAAGTCAACGGACAGTTTTTTTGTTTTTCCATGGTCAACAGAAAACTTGTTTATTAAGGCAAAAAATGTTCTCCACTTTTAAAAGATGGAAAACTTTTCCCGGATGAACATCTTACCAATGCCACCACACTCCCACTACCATTCTACCTCCACCACCGCCCCACGACCACCACCGTAAATAATATTTTGTGCCGAAGCAAATGGCGCGATAATGTCACGTTAAGTTCTATAGATTCATGATTGAATTCATGTTGCAATCATAATAAGTCCTGAGAAACATCCTCAATGTGATTATTCATTCTCTCTCTCTCTCTCTCATTTTTTATTTATTTATAGGATATCCATTGTTATTGTAGACTGGAATATTAATTGTTGGCATCATTATCTACTCATATCTAAGTTTGTTTTTCTTTTTCTTATACCACTTGATGCTAACATCCCGTCTTTTTGTTTTTTTTTCATGGCTGGAATTCAGCTACCTCGGATTCAGGTGACAGACCCAGTCACCAGATATTATGGGCTGAAGCGCGGCCAAGTTGTGAAGATTATCCGACCAAGTGAGACTGCAGGCCGTTACATCACATACCGCTATGTTGTTTAGATTTCTTCCACTATATTCTGTCTATCTAGTCGAGTGGAATTCTGAATCTTGTTCCAGTTGAAAAGTGTTCCGGTTATGTTTAAGTCAATGATTCAAGAACCTTTGGAGCATTTGTGATTGGAGAGGGAAACATTGGAGAATGTCAAAATTGGACCGCACTTTGTGTGGATAATATATATCTCTGTTTGGTTTGTGTACTACTATAATCATTTACATTTCCTTTTGGCAATGCTTGTGATTTATGAATCCAGAGGATATTGCGTTTATGATTGGCTTGGATCAAAAGCTCTTGCACCTCTTCTATGACTCACGCAAGTCCATAGCTGAGAGAGACGCCTGTGGATTACAACTTTCTTGACCATCTGCAATCACCAGTTTTATGGCTGGAAAGAATGGTTTTTCACTTAAATTATGGTAAAGTCTAAAACACAATCTTACTAACAATCCATTTGGAACGTGGGATGAGAATGGGATGAATAAAGAAAAGAACAAAAATGATTAGATTAGATTAGATATTTTCACTACTATGGTTGAAAGAAAAGAAATGATTTTTTCACTATAGTTAGTATACTAATTGGTGCATGTAGCACTAGCGATTATGTTTGGATGAGTAATGAAACAAAATATGTAATATATAAATATGGTTGAGTTTTTTTTTTTTTTTTCCTATCATCAAAGTGTTATGTGAATAAAAACTATAACGGGCACTAAATGTAATTATATTAAAATTTTAAAGTTTATTGTATTTTTCTAATTCTCAGGAAATATTAGTGTAATTTACTCTTCTTTTTAAAACTAATTTCTAATTTTTCAAAGAAATTTTTTTCTAAAAATTCAACTAAATAGAGTTAAAAGAGAGATTGCTGGCTATGTTAATGAGATTGAACTCCTTCCCAATATTTCATACTCACTTCACTTTCAATGTTGAAGATTTGTAGGGGTTTTTTTTTGTTTTTTTGTTTGGCAAAAAAGAAATTTTATTGATGTAAGAGTAAAGTACAAGGTACACAAACAACAAACATCAATAAAGAGAGGTAAGTGCAAAAGTATCACGATGAGCTAAATTATCCCAACTATGTTAGCACCAAAAAGTCCATCTTATCATTTGCTAGTATCTCTAAAGTTGGGGAGTAACCAACCAAAGCAACATGAGAAACACAAATCAGCATCGTAGTCCACAGCTGAGCATAGTAGTCCAACAAAACAGAACATCCACCTTCAGCCAGTATATCAGTTCATCCACCTCTTCCTTTTATCAACCACCAAGACTTGCGACCAGCTACTTTCTATACAACAGAGTATAACAAGAAAAACATCAGAAATCTCAAAAGTTTTATGAAATTTTTTATTAAATGTCTCACATGGGTGTGAGACTCACACTATGTAGGTCCTACACCCATGCGAGACATTTAATAAAAAAATTGATAAAATTTTTAAAATCTCTAACATTACTAGTTGACATAATATGAAAGATTTCTAATTCAACTACATTCATTTATGTTTGTTTTAGTAAGTTGTGTTTTTTTTATATTTTTTATTTTACACTGTTTGTCTAGTAAGTTGTGTTTTTTGTTTGAATAATGTCTCATTTATTTATTTAAAGAAGTTGGAAGTTGTGGAAGAAATTAATGATTTTTAGTAGAATACTTTTTCCTTGAATTGTTTGTTTGACATGAAAAATAATGCATTTTTTTTGTCAAAATCTGTGTTAATGGAGTTTTTCTTTTACTTTTTCTCTATTTTTAGTAGAATGATTTGTTGGTCAATTGTTAGGGTTTAATTATCCAGTTGATACGATATTTTTATATTTGTAATTAATCTATTATCAATTAATAAAAAAAAATAACACTCATCGACCACAGGCCCAGAAAAAATAATGTGTGGAAAGGCCCAATAAAATAATTCTTTGTGCAAAGGCCTTCAATCATAAAGACTGAAAGAACTCTCACAATCCAAAGGACTAATAAAAAAATTTTTGTTCAAAGGGCAAGCCTAAAAAAAAACACAACTTACTAGACAAACAGTATAAAATAAAAAGAATAAAAAGAATTTTAGTTTAAAAAAATCGAAGAATAAAAAGAATTTTACATAAAAAAAAGGGGGATGCACCAATAAATTCCAAATTAATAACTTGTACACTGTTTAGTCTTAAAAGTTTTTTTATAGACTGAAAGGTCCCATTACAATGTTTCAAACATCAGATTAATGTTTCGAACATTAGATTTCGAACATCAGATTAATGTTTCGAACATTGGATTTCGAACATCAGATTAATGTTTCAAACATTAGATTGATGTGCAAATGGGACTAAATGGAACATAAGAAAACTTTTAGGACTAAATGGTTCAACTTTTCAGAAACGAGGACTTATGGATAAATTTTCCTAAAAAAAACACACAATATAGAAGAGTCTTACTTACTGAAAAGTTTCATTTTTGAGACTTAATTGACACAAATCTCATTTTTAAATCAATCTTTTCCATGAAACAACCCTTAAAATCTCATTTTAAAATTGTTAATTTTTTTTTTTAAAAAAAAATTTACTATTTAATTTAAATATTCAACAAGTTAGAGGCGTTTGTTGCGTCAATAGAGTGAAGTGATTTTTTTTAGTGAACAATAAAGTGAAGTGATAGTGGCGCTCATATTTTATATTTAGAACTTTAAAATATTATAATTTTCATTACACACTTCTAATTTCATGAATTGATATTTTTTAACCTATTTGTTGAGATCTATCAAACAAAATCAATATTAAATATAAAAGTATGTAAAAAAATAAATTTGTGAAAATTCTCAATTTCACAAATTTGAAGAATTTTTCTTTTTTTGGGGAATGTGAAGTGTGTATGTTTGAATAACATTTTCCTTATTTAAAAGGTATTCTTAAAATTGATTGGGTTGATTGATTTCAAGACCCTTTAAAGCAGCTAACGGGATATGATTTAATGGTATGTTTCGTGTAGATAACCAATTTTTTCAACTTATTTAAGTTATTTTGACTTTATTAATTATGAAGAGAATTTGCACTAAATATTTGATATATAGTCCTAAAATATTTTTTTTTAATATATATATATATATATATATAAACAACTCTAAAAGTTGCACCAAACAAAGCAAACTTAAAATTCTCTTGAAAACAATAAGAAACTTTCACAAGTATAGAATCTTCAATTTGTTATCAATGCCAGGTTCTTTTTCTTTTTATCTTTTTTTCCTCTCATAATGAGTAGACAAAAGCATATCCAGACAACCCTCTTTATACCTGTGATTAACTGTACACATATATATGATTCATTTGATGAGAGGGTAATTTTTGGGAAAAATTGGACTTAAAATTCTCTTGAAAACAATAAGAAACTTTCACAAGTATAGAATCTTCAATTTGTTATCAATGCCAAGTTCTTTTTCTTTTTATCTTTTTATCTTTTTATCTTTTTTTTCCCTCATAATGAGTAGACAAAAGCATATCCAGACAACCCTCTTTATACCTGTGATTAACTGTACAAATATATATGATTCATTTGATAAACAAGATCTCCCTTGTACCCAAAGAAAAACTAATTAATAAGATCATACACTTTGATACAATTAATTAATAAATATGATCATACACTGAAGATCATGTCAACATATATATATATATATATATAACCATAGTTGTGAATCAAATTAATGATAGAAGAAATCATATCCAAGATAGATCTTTAGAGCACTGGGGATGTTGGTTTGATGAGTGATATTAGGGGACAATGGAAGACCAAATGCATTAATATTTGCTCATTTCCTATTTTTATGTGGGCCCATTTTAGTTTTTTTTTTTTTTTTTGAAAAAAAAATTAAATATTTATCCAAAGAAGCCAAATGTTAGGCTATTTAGCATCTTCACGTGGGTTCATGACTCATTTTGTAGTTTCCAAGGTCCCATTCCAGTTGTATCAACATCTATATAATGTTTATAAATACTATTCCCATGTAGTATAGGCTTCCTAGAATTTGTACTGTTACTTTGTTTAGGAGAGAACCTCCCACCATGACTTGTAGGATCTCCTTTCACACTAGAAGTTTTGTATTGTATGGATGATTTTGAGTATAACAAAGAATTTAAATAACAACGCTGTTACAGAGTCCGAACATTTCAAGTTTAAAATTGGCTCGAAACTTAAAACGACGTTATTTTGAATTATCTTACCGGTAAGAGAATTGTAATATATCTTATCGGTAAGAGAATTTTATTACATGTTACCGGTAAGAGAATTCAAAACGACGTCGTTTTGAGTTTCAAGCCAATTTCGAGCCAAATAATTTCGGACCCTCAAATAATTTTCTTTAAATAATACTCTTGTTTGATACAGTTTATATAAACAGGTTATAGTTTTTTTTATCTTGAAAGTCATTGTTTGATATAATTTTTAATTATAATTTATAAAATAAAAATAATTTAAATAAGTTAAAAAAATTTGATTATTTAAATACTGAAAAATAAATGTTTTTAACTTTTTCTTTTAATTATAGACTGTAATATTTCATTTGCTAGTCTCTTTAGGTGAGCTTTTGTAATTATTATCATAGTCAACTCATACATCTTCCACATCGATTACTGTTTTGATTTGATAGAACCTTTTTTAATACTAAGTAAGAGAATTCAAAACGACGTCGTTTTGAGTTTCAAGCCAATTTCGAGCCAAATAATTTTGGGTCCTCAAACAATTTTCTTTAAATAATACTCTTGTTTGATACAGTTTATAAAAACAGGTTATAGTTTTTTTTATCTTGAAAGTCATTGTTTGATATAATTTTTAATTATAATTTATAAAATAAAAATAATTTAAATAAGTTAAAAAAATTTGATTATTTAAATACTGAAAAATAAATGTTTTTAACTTTTTCTTTTAATTATAGACTGTAATATTTCATTTGCTAGTCTCTTTAGGTGAGCTTTTGTAATTATTATCATAGTCAACTCTCTTCCACATCGATTACTGTTTTGTTTTGATTTGATAGAACCTTTTTTAATACTAATTTGTGTACACAACCAAGTAAATCACAATTTTTAAGTTAACAAACCCATCGCGAGAGTATAAAAGGGGAAGTGGGGGAGTTGGTAATAATTTTGACCCACATCAAAAGTTTTGGCTAGCCTTTTGATTGAGCTCACATAGTTGCTAGTTGGCTAAACAAGAATTTATCATAAAAATAAAAAAATATGACGACTCAAGGCACTTTATTTAAAAAATATATATATTTTGTGATTAAACCTG